CTGGATTCTCTTTTGAGCGCTGGGAAGATGGAGGAGAGGGTGAAGGCCGGGGCTGGTCCCTCAGCCCCCCCCCCAGCCCGGGCCCTTCCCTCGCTCCCCTTGAAACGGAGCGTGCTCTCGGGGGGAAAGGGCAGAAAGGCCTCTCCAGGCAGTCTGCGGAGCGGGAATTCCCTAACTGCCCCCGCATTGTAATCAGCTTTAAAAACAGAAGACTCATCCAATTTTGGACACTCAGATTTGTTTCAAAGTATGAGAAGGCCATCCTCAAATCAGAGCTTTCTTCATGTTGGGAAAAAAAATATATCCCCAGGAAATCTCCTCAAACGGCACATTTTCCCTCAGACTTCGGCCTTTTCCTCAGCGGCCTCCGGCCTTTTCCAGCTACTGTTGTGCCAATACATCGTTAATGAAGACCGTCAGGTGGGTGTGATATCGTCCCCAAAAGGCTGGCAGAGGCTACAAATCAGCTTGGGGGACATGGCCTTGGGAGCATTTACTCAGGAGTAAGTTCTCCTGAAAGTCAGGAAGCCAAATACCAAGCTGATCACACCCAAAAGGGCCCCAGTGCTGGTTTCAGAGTTTCCTGAAGGCATGAGCAGAACCTTATCCATTTCACTCTGAAGCAAGTTGCATTTAGTGGTTAAAGATTATATATCCCATCCCTTGCACTGCAGCTGTGAAGAGAATAGAAATAACCATTAAAAGCCTACTCCCTGGCGTGCAAAAGACAGAAGTCGGCAGTCCAATCCTAATTGAACCTGGAAGTAATTCCAATTAACATTAAACAAGCTTACTGCAGACTCTTAAGCTCTATTTTTAGGATAGGACTATATTAGAAAGTTACTCAAGATCGATGGCATTCAGTTATAACAATTCTCCATCTGGCAATGCTGTGTATTTTAAAATAAAATATTAAGTTGCTAAGATTATACTGCCCAGTACCTATTTTCCAACTGAATCCAAGAATGGGTGCTTTGCATTTCTATTGTTGGTGCCTCTCTTGCTCAAGTTTTGACTGAATCTGATCTCTATATTCACTGCCATAGAATCCAACCCGTTGCCCATCAACACTTACAACACACTGCAGCTTTAATAATTATAGGACATTTAGCCTGGATTCAGAGATCTTGCTTAACTAACATGCTGATTGTCATCTTAGCATGTTGCATGAACCTAGACAACATGGTTTGTAAATCACAATTTATGGCTTGATATGTAAACCCAGCTATTATGGCTTCTTGAACACAATGGTTAAAACAAGTCTTGATCTGTGAACCCAGCTTTAATATACAATAAATAATACCTGGGAACAATTCATGCTTCTCTCCTTTTAATTTCTGGAACTGGCGATTTGGTCAGTTAAAATCAGTGATGGCTTTTTCCTCAAGGAAGTTGTCTCTGACCACATAATTAAGCTCAACTTTACTAGCTCTAATAGTCCAGAAATACAGGAAAGTCCAGCAGTAACACTGAATTTCTTTGACATTCTTTAAGATGCCACAATTTTTAATGTTTTTGCTCAACCATCTAACAGGGCTTACTCCTTTGATTTAACTACCTGGCTGAAAAATGCAGATTACCTCTCTATCCAATCCTAAAATCACTCTATTTTAGAGATATCAGGTAGTATGGCTAAAGGGGTTAAAATCCTATTGCATTTGTAACCTCCCACTGAAGTGCTTTGTGGATTGAACGATTAAGGGTCCTAGCATCAACTCAACTGTGTGCTTACAAAAAGTGCTTGACCCTCCTCTCAGAAGTGGTACTCACACACCTTCTGCTTCCTCACTAACCTGAATTTCATTGATTTTTGGCCCCTTCAATCCCACAGGCTCTTTGCAGGTTACATATAATTCTTGTCCTCATCGAAGGCTTCATAGTATAATTCTTCAGACAGCAAAGGCAAAGAAATGGAATTTAACAACTAATACCAGGATTACTAAGAAAATACAGCATTTAATGCAACAGGTTTGGAGGGTTTTAAGAGCTTCAAACACTTTATATTGATATAATCCCTATAGCCACTTTGTGAACATTATCTACTCCATATTACAGAGTGAAGGGGGGCATCCAAGGCTCAGAATGTAATTTTCCTTAAATAACTTGGGAAAGATTCAAACAGAAGACCTTAGCTGCCAGCTCAGAATCTTGATATCTTCAGTACATTAGTGAAGAAAAATACAAATTCACATATTTGGTTTATTCAGTACCAACTTGCAAGCCATCTCCATCCTAAGCATTTTTCTTTGAATTTTAACCCATTAAGATAGTAAATGATCCCATCTCATATATTCCCTTCCACAGTAGAGTTGGTTGTCATCCCAATAAATTTGAAGTGATATTAAATAGTTGATCAGTTGATAAATCTACACATCTCAGTATCTGAGTAACTGTCCTGTAATCTTTTTAGAGGTACAAGCAAATCACAAAAAGCATTCAATATCCACACGAGTGAAAGAGGACCACTTTTCTATGTTAGATACTTTCCTTGACACCTGCCAAGCCTCCTGCCCCCCATTCCCCCAATATCATACATCATTTAACAACTTGGAACACTGGCATGCTGCAAAACAAAGCACTCTCCAACTTGACCTTATTTCTATGATGATTCTGGGCTCCAGAAGTTTTCTTAGAAAATGGGGAAGGCTGCAGGCCAGTGCTTTGTTTGGAAGTATGCCCACCTGACCAGAAAAGCAGCAAAGATAACCAGGGAATAGGCAGCTTCCTGTATGCATGTTAGAGAGCAGTGAGTTAGAGAAGATACTTATAAATTGGTGTTTTGAAAGGGGCCCCAATAGCGATCATTCTGTGAATATGCAACACTTCCTCATGATCTGTTTTGTGACAATACCTTCTACATGTTCTCAGAATCCCCAATATGCCCAGCAATCCTGAAAGGTCTCCAATTTGAGTTATGTTAAACAAATGGAAGCTGCCCCAAAGTGTTGTCATGCATCATCCTTTCTCTACTGCTCTACTCCTAATCAGAGACCCAGCCAGCCATTTCCTCCAAGTAGGCATTTTATCTCCACTTTTTTTTTATTTTCCAGGTCATTTGATGCCTGAGTTTACATCATCTACTGAACCAAAAGTTTAGCATAGTGTTGTGTAAGCCCAGCATGCATGTGGTTAATTTCTAGTTCAGTGTGTCATGTGTTGAGTAACCACAGGTAAATGTGTTGGCAAACAACTTACGACAGAAATTTCCAATCTCAACAGAGTTGTTTCTTGTCTTCCTATTCCCTCACCCCACCCCTGTAACTTATTCCCCAGTACTCCCATTCTCATTTCTCAGTAGCACTGTTTTGGCAACCATTCTTTTGGCACTCACCACTCATTTCCTAATTAGACGGAGTGATTAACTGTAAAATCAAGTCATGTGCGTACTTACCATTTGTGTGACATTTACAGTTTAACAGGTGGGACACATTTCCATTTTTTTTACCACTAGAAGCAAGTGGTCAGGGAGACCACTCTTACACTAAAATGTAGAAAAGATGTTACCTTTCAGAGTACCTTCTTTGAATATTATATGCTCCAAAAACTCCCATCCAAAGACCAAACATTAGTTTTTAAGCAATGACTAGTCATCTGAGTATAATATACAGCCACATATGTAAATAGAATGTAGGCATGTTGATGAAGATTGTCAGTCATCCAGGTGGAATTATCTGTCATCCAGGTGGAATTATCTAGAGGTTGAGTTGTGGCAACTGGACTTCTTTTCTTTTGGTCTGATCCGTTTCACTGCTTGTCCAAGCAGCTTCTTCAGTCTAGAAAGTTGGTTGGGGGGACCCCATAAATGTCTTCCAGGGGGGCCACGTTTCTCACTGACATGACGGGCTCATTGAAGGGACAAGGGTGGCCACGTTTCTCACTGACATGACGGGCTCATTGAAGGGACAAGGGTGGCCACGTTTCTCACTGACATGACGGGCTCATTGAAGGGACAAGGGTGGCCACGTTTCTCACTGACATGACGGGCTCATTGAAGGGACAATAGGAGATGTGATTAGTAGAGTCTTGTGAAGGATAGAATTAGTGAAGGAATAGGAGAGAAGATAGGTGGTTTCTTCTCCTATCTTCCTTCACTAATCACATCTCCTATTGTCCCTTCAATGAGCCCGTCATGTCAGTGAGAAACGTGGCCACCCTGGAAAACTTTTATGGGGTCCCCCCACCCAACTTTCTAGACTGAAGAAGCTGCTTGGAGAAGCAGCAAAACAGATCAGACCAAAAGAAAAGAAGTCCAGTTGCCACAACTCAACCTCCAGATAGAATGCAGGTAGTTTTTCCACTAAAGCCAACTACAAAACGATATTGATAAACTTGCATTACTAAATATGAATGGACCCAGAATTTATTCTTACAGTGAAATACTATAGCTTTGACAAAATATTACTAGTCCAACATTTACCAGTTTCATGGCCATATACAATATAAGTTACCCTAACAGTCTATGGACCAAAATAATGAGAATTGTTGAACAGCTTCTTTATCCGTGTCCAAGCAAGATCACTCACCAAAATAAGTTAATGTCTGAAACAGCAAATTCAATCCCTAAACGTGTGGTTGGATTCACACAATACAGATCAGTTTGCAAAAGTGGTTAGGTTTGGTTCACAAAGTCAAATCTAAACAAATCAAGATTTAGCATATGTCACTCAACTTTGTATTCTATCTAAAGCTGTTTCACCCATAGTTCCAGTTAAAGTCATACAACTACTTAAGCTCATTCTTCTATATCCTGCAAACAAAGGACATCAGCATTAGGTATAAAATTTATCTGCACATTTTTAAAATAAAGCTGATGAAATTAAAACAATGGGTTTTAAAGGTTTTTTCTCTCACCCCATGGCTGGCAGAATGGATTATGCAAAAAAAAAAAAAAGTAACAAAAATATAGCAGTTTTAACATGAGAATCCTGCAAAATCAAACACAAGGTAATCCATATAAGCATTTTGTTTCCCAACATGGTTAACTAGATGATTTGAAGAAGCCCAATAACAGAAAATACAACTCATAACTCTCCGTTTCTCTTTCTCTAAGGAATATAATAATTGAAGCTGGAAGTTCTATTTAGCTAAACACTATTAAATGGCCTGCCCATCCCAGTCTTGAATGTAATTCTCTTGTAGATTATGCAATAGGTTATGTTTAGCAAAACTCTTATAACATTTGTTAATCTTTTTCTCTCCATTGCAGATAAGAAATTTTACCTGAGCCGTGCAAAGAAACTCATCCAGCACACCAGTAAAGAAATAAAAGTAAATAACAACCCCACTACTTCTCTTACATCTAGTTTTATACTCTAACAGGAAAAAACAGAGATTAACCACCTAAAACTACCTCCCAGATCCTAACAGATTTATCCATTAGCTTTCTTGGGATTTAACTTCAGGGGGTAATGATTCCCTCAATAATCTGGGTTTTTTTTCCCAGAGATCCCTCTGATGTAACACTTTTCAAACTTTCTGCAGCTCTGGACCACTAAATAGTTGTGTTGAACTGTGAGGACCACCTAATGGAGGTGTCAAAAAAAGGCAACATGTTGCCACAATTACACAATCAAAGCCCCACCCCTTTTTATGTGTACATAAAAAAGGTTGGAGCTTTGATTACATGGTTGTAGCACCATCTTGTGCTTTGTAACCCATCTGACCAGTAGTAAACATGAGGCAGTGAGCAGGGCTGGGCAGCTGACTGAGATTCAACCTAATTGAGGAAAAGATTAACTTCTTACTATAGGTTGGACCAACAGGGAATTCCAGAGTAGGATGTAAAAAATAAAAAACTCTGGAAGATGTAAAACTATGAAGAAAATTGCATGGATGCAGTCATCAGAAGTCATGGTTGATTTGCCAGTATCTTTATACAGTATTTTATTGGTAACAATACAGCAGCAGAGGCATATTCTTAGAAATACAGAGAGCTTTCTAACCTTCAAAGCCATCCTACCGTTCAGGAACTTTGGAAGACCTTTTCATAGGAGAGGAAAAAAAAGAGCCAGACACAGATCTGCAAAATTGGCCAGTCTCACTGCCCTGTGTTTCCCCCACCCTGCTGCAATGTCTGTGCTTTCAACAACCCTTATTTGAAGGGTTTTCCTCCAGCCAAATCTGTGTATTCCAATGGGATCTTTCATACTACAGTGTAGCAAATATGAGAAGGAAAAAGTCTTTTTAAAAAGCTAATCAATGCATCATTTGTGAAGCTGCAGAGCCAAAGTTTTGCAACCTGTCATTTTTTCTATCTTGCAGTCCACCTTGGTGTTTGGCATATGTCTTTCTCCTTTCCCCCCTCACCTGCCATACCACCATGCAGATGTATTCTACTTTACCTCTGAAAAAGAAGGAAAAGAGGATGGAAGATGCTGATACAGCTGCTTGAATAAAGAGATGCCCTGTTAAGCTGCAATCTGTAACTCACTAGGGATGTACTACTTTTTCTATTGGAAAAACGGGGAGGGAGGGAATTGACTGCAGTGATGATAAGCTGAAATTGAAGGTTGCACACTGCAGCTTGCAGAATGCCAAACAGGAGGGATGAGGGTTATCGATTCCCTGGACTGTCTTTCTCTGCTTCAAAGTCACCCCCCCCACACCCCGCTTCCACAATTTCATAGCCAGATACACCTTTCTGGTATACTCATATGTGTGCACAGCAGAGGGTTGGCATTTTGCATCTTGTTCCAGACTTCTCATGCTTGCTATGGCTAATAACTGAAAAAAACAACCCTCCAGGAAACCCAGGCGAGAAAGGAAGGCAGTTGCAAAAAAAAAAAATCCATGACACCACCTGGTTGAAATTCAGCAATCGAGACGTGTTGAAGCCACATATGCAGTGGGAAAGAAAAGGCCGTTTATTAGACACAGCCGTTCAAGCCTGTGCTAAAGGGGAATGCTTTAATTATACACTCTGTAAAATTCTCACATTCTCCAGCAAATTAAGAACACTTTGGTGCTTCCACAGAAGTGTGCAATATGAAAGAACCATCCTTTGATCAACTGGCTCTTTTTTAACAGGGCATCTCTCTGACTTTCCTATCAAGCTATTATCTTATGTTTTCCTCAGGTTTCTTAAATCCTTTTTCATCTTGTCAAAAATCTGGGTTTGTTTTCCCTTGGGGAAAAAATGCTGGTAGGTGTGAAACTGAAATTGGCATGAAGAAAGTAAAGTTTTGGCAGCAGAATTAAAGAGAGACACAACATAGAGGCAGAGATCTAGTTCTTATTTAAAACGAATTAAATTACAATGCATGGTAGATAATGATTCAATTAATAAAAATTGTTACTGTACATAAAGGCAGATAAATCCATTCCCCACACCACCAAAATTGGATATTATGTTAAGGAAAGCTATTTAAGGTTTCAGAAACTACAGGACATTTGCATTTGCAGTTAAAAGGATAAACAATATTTGTGAATCAGAAAAACAGGCTTACCAAGAATTAAAAGTCATACTTGTCAATTTACAATTGCTCTTTTTTAGTTTTTACCAACTCTGCTCCCACATCTTTTAACAACCTGACATGTAGAAATGTAGCTGCTTCAGCTTTTCCCTATGTTTTATCTCTGCCAGAAACAACAGCAAAATGTCAGTTTTTCCGGGCTGCTCTTAAAAGCAAGGAGTGAAAATCAATCACCCTATTAAAAGTTTTCCATTAGGTTAGCTTCAGAAGGAAGCTCTTGCAATGTACTCTGAGGTATTCTAGACATTTAAAAGTTGCTAAATTAACCAGACTTGATTACCCTTGAGAACTTAAAGTTTAGGCCAGGCTGGCAAAAGAGGTATAAACTAGACCAGGCAAATGTAGGGCTCAGAGGCTACAGTCAGGGATGTCTGTGCGAGGGGGTGGCAGTCCAGAAGCAAAGATGGTGGCCATGACATATGAAAAGGGGCAAGGCTTGGATCACATAGCTGTGGCTGCCATCTTGACTTTCTTGACCTTTCCCCTTGTAAATGCCCCAGTTGTTTTTTACATTGTTCTGTCCAAGGATGATCTTCCTTCCTTCCTTCTTTCCTACAGTCAGCTGGAACCAAAAACATGTTAAAAGAAAACCGTTTTAACCTGCTCCTAGAAGTGCAGCATGGTGGCTGCTGCACAATTTCTGCGGTAAGAGTATTCTGTAAGTATTCCATTACAGATAGTCCTCGCTTAATGACCACAATAGGGACTGGGAAATTTGCTGTTAAACAGGTTGCGCCCAATTTTATGATTTTTGCAGTGGTCATTAAGCGAATCACTGTGGCCATTAAGTGAATCACATGGTTCCCCATTGATTTTGCTTGCTGGAAGCTGGCTGGGAAGGTTGCAAATGGTGATCACATGATCCCAGGATGCTGCAACCATCATAAGTGTGAGCTGGTTGCCAAGCCCCCGGATCACGATCACATGACCATGGGGGTGCTGCAATAGTTGTAAGTGTGAGGACCAGTTGTAAGTCCCGTTGTTCAGCACCATTGTAATTTCGAACAGTCACTAAACAAATGGTTGTTATTTAGATAATGTATTTCTTAAGTTTGTTACAGACTCCATTAATCCTCCCAGTTAATACCAAGGATGCTTTGCCTGGGTTAATCATAGTTGGTTTAACTATAGCTTATTGTGTAAATTAACTGGTAATGCTCAACAGGTTAAGCTATAGATCATGATTAATAAACTACAGTGGCTGGATTGGTACTACATGCTAAGTCAAACCCCAGCAAATCACTGACTACACTGTTTCCCAAATCTTTAAGCAGAAGTTCCTCAGATGAAGCTTTCAGGCAGAGTGATAAGTTCTTGTAGGACTGCCAGGCAAAGGGAACAGGGTTTCTTTGTGGCTTGCAGTTATATGAAGAAGGCCATCCATTAAGATTCCTCCCCTTCCAGCGGTTTGGCCTCTTTCAGCTTTACTGCTCTGTCTGGATGTGGATTTGTGCTAATACAGAGAACCAAGAAGTGTGGCTGATGAACCCAGGGCTGAGGAAGCCCTAGGAAGTTCCCTGAAAGACTTCAACCAGCCTGTATCTCTCGGCCAGCCAGCCAGCCTCATAAGTAGGTTGTTCTGAGGATAACACTGAAGGGTACCTACGTCATCCTGAATGTCTACAGCAACTTGTGGGCCACAGTCTGCCTCGCAACCTCCACCTCCCCCAATTTCAGATCATACCCCCAACATTTGGTAGCAAATTGTCTAATTTTTAGTGGTATCCTATTTAGGTTTTATTATAGTCGTCGTTGATCATTTTAATAATGAAAATGTCACCTTCTCATCCCTCCAAAGGGCCAGAAATGTTCATTTCCACCCACCCAGCAACATCACCAGAATACCTCTTCCCACCCCATGATTGTTAGGCTGAGTTCATGCAACACACTTCACTATTAACCATTTCTTGAAAAAAATGCTTTGTGTTCATAAACCCGCTAAGCTGCAAAAATCCTAACCAAGCTTAGTCTGTTGTGCAAATAGAGCCACTGGGTCTTTAACTGATGGGAAGAGCTCCTTGAGTGAACTGATCCTAACCTGGGAGGTAAAAATATGTCCTTAAAAACCCTGGCCTCAGGCCAAAAAAGCTTGCATTGTTGCTGTCCTAGAGGAAAGGTAGGCTACTAGTCTGACCAGTAAATTGGTATTATTAACATCTGCATCTTGCTTTGGGTGTTTGGGGGGTAGGGAAGGGGAAAGGAAAGTAGTGTTGGAAAACACATCCTTTCACGCACATCTAATTTTCCTGCAAACCTTAACACTAACCTGCATGAAAACTGGATTTGCTTATCTGATCCTGTTTTCCTGCCCAGCGTGGGTATTCACAGGTATAGAGAACTGCCTCCTGTCCATTTTGTCCATGCAGGTGACATGCACAGCTCTTCAGAGGGTTAGAGGATTTTCTCTAATCATGTTTGGAAATACCAAAGACTGAATTGGGGATCTTGGGTTGGGCCTTATACCCCTGCAAGCATTACTGTTTGGCTCCAAGTTTTGATGTCAGGTAAAAAACAAATGTCTAGTTCTCATGGGGACTAGAAATAAATAATACTTAAATTATATTTTTGCCAAGTCAGGCTACTCATTCAAGTTAATACAACATGCTCCTGTATACTGGCTGGAAATGGCTCTCAATATTCTCCTTTCCAACCCCCAACCCTGCAATTCTGTTTGTAAATATTGGGGATTGAACTTGAGGTTATTACATACAAGTCCTTTGAGAAATTCAGCTAGGTAGAGTCACAGAAGACTTGCATGACCTGGAAAATTCACTTCCCCTACACTGCTTTCCTCCATTGCAAACTTAACCAATGCCATTCAGCTTTGAAAATAAATTTATTTCAAACTTTTTGCCTTTGGTTCTCGTGCTTTCCTCCATGAATTCCTTGGGGATAGAAAGAGACAGAAAATATTAATAAGTAGACCAGAGGTGTGAGACTGCGCTGAAAAGGCAGAAACAAGGTGAGATGTTAATCTGATTTATGATTCAGCGCTCAAGACTTCCCTAGTGTGCATTTCTACCTCCTACCGGGATGACTCAGCAGAAAATGCTTGTTTCATAAGTCACATTTTGAGCATTTACAGATGATGAGGTGGTACTTTGCTCTGTGGCAAGTTGAGGCCTAGGAATCTTTCTTTGCAACTTCTCTTGCAGGCATGCCTACATAAGGTTGCCACCTGTTCCCTATTGCAAAGAGTTGCTTTTATTTAGGATTTTAAAAAATAGAGCTCCTTTTCGATTAATCAGGAACACAGACGGTACTTTCTTTACTTTCCTAAAGATCACAGTTTTTCTTTCTTTCTTTGGCCTTGGACATATGCCTTAAGTGAAAAAAGTGATTTGATTTTCACCCACCATCTGTTTCAAATACTGTTTTGTTTGAATCCCATCTTTCAAAATTGGTATTGTTTCTTGTGCGACTGACGTATGAGAAGTGGCATTGAAATCAGTTAGTTATAGTGACCTGTTTAAGGCCTATTTAATAATTTATTTTTTACTAACTTGGTTTGGCTGAATTCTACAAGCAGCTTACTAAGAAAGCTAGCAATATACAGTAGCTATATTAAATTATATTAAACATATGTGGCATTTTATTCAAGTGTACATTTTTTTTCTTTTTGCAGCTTTTCACATGGCAAGCCTATGTCTGGGTTCAAATAACTTGCTAAACTCTAAGATTAACAAAGCACAAGTAATATTTACATAACATGCTACACCCAAGCAAATAAACCATATTGCCGTAATATTATTACAGCTTAATGCAAAGCTTTCAAACTTGCAGCCCGCAGGCCACGTGCTCTCCAGATCATTTCCTGCAGCCCATATCGATAGTTAGGAAAGTGAACATTGCATGGCATGTATCAGGCGGTGAGAATGATCCCCCAAAAAGGGAGGAGTACCTTGAAGAAATTATCTATTTATTAAATTTATATGCCGCCCAACTCCCAGCAACTCTAGGCG